TCCACCCACCCACCCATCCATCCATCCACCCACCCACCCACAAATCCACACATCCACAATCTTCCTGTCCACCTGTCCATCCATCTCCCCACCCTTCCATACATCCACCCCCCCACCCACCCACTCCTCCCTCCCTCCCTCCATTCCTGGTCTCCCTTTGGTGTCAGTGCCGTAGCAGAGCAGCAGTTCCACCACCCAAGGGTTAAGGGATCGGCGTTGCCACGGCGTTGGTGGCACTTGGTGGCACTCGCCCTCCTGAGCCCAATAAAAGCCACCCCTTGGCCTGGTGCAGAGCAGTGCCGTGCAGGGATCGGTGCCACGATGCTGCGCGTCCCGGTGCTGCTGCTGCTGGCGGCCCTCACTGCCACCACCCAGGGACAGAGTGAGTGCCACTGCTGCCACCCCACCCCAGTGCCACATCCTGGGCTCAGGGTGACAGGATTTGGGGTTGGGGGGGGGTTGTGTTCTCCCATGGGAATGGGTCAGGGGTGCTGGGGGGGTCGGCACCTCGCTGTCCCCACTGCCCACAGTGCCCCCAGCACCCCAAGCTCCCTGCACCCAGGATGGAGAGTGCTGTCCCCTGTGGGATAGGGGTCCCCTGAGGCTGTCACCATTGTCCTCATCCCCATCCATGTCCCCACTGCTGCCCCCGACCTCACTCCTGTCCCTGTCCCTATTGCCATCACCATCCCTGACCCCACTGCTGACCCCACTGATATCCCTATCCCAACCACCTGCCTCCATCCCTACTGCTCTCCCTTTCCCCATTGCTGTCCCGACTCCTTCCCTACCCCCGTTCCCATTCCCTGTTCCTACACCTGTCCCCATCCCTGTCCCCATCCCTTCTCCTGTCCCAATCCCTATTGCTGCCCACACCCCGTTCCTGTCCCATCCCCGTCCCTGACCCCATCCCAGTTCCCTGACCCCATCCGTGTCCCCGTCCCCTTCTCCCGTCCCCACCCCCATCGCTGTCCCCATCCCCGTCCCTCAACTCATCGCTGTCCCCACCGCCACCGCTGCCCGTCCCCACGTCTGTCCCCATTCCCTCCCCTCGCCATCCGCGTCCACATCCCCACTCGTGTCCCCGCTGCCCCCAGCCGCGGGCTCCCAGCAGCTGCAGCCGTGGCTGATCGGTCTCACGGCGGTGGTGGTTTTCCTATTCGTGGTTTTCGTGCTGCTGTTGGCGGGGCGGCTTTGGCGACTGCGGACGCGCAGGTGGGTCCGTGGGGGGGGGTTGGGTTGGGGTCCGCCCCCGAGCGCCGCTCACACGCGATGTCCCCACGCAGAGAACACGAGGACGACTCGGAGAAGCGATCGACCCACAGGTAGCGCAGCCCCAACCGCACCGCCGCCCCATTTTCCCCTACGGAGCGCCCTAAAGGGTCACCCACGCGTGTCCCCCGTGGGATCGCCGCTCTGACCCCGCTGTCCCCGCAGCATGGAGCGTGCAGCCTACATCAACGCCGCGGCCGAGAGAGACAGCGACGACGAACGGGAGAAGAGCAAAGCCACGTCGCTGTGACACGCGTGGGCTTCCCGGGCCGCTCCGTTCCGCGCCGCGTTTTGCGGAGCTCCGTTCGGCCGGCGGCAAAACCCGGAGCGGATCGCAGCGGGATGGAGCGGGGCGGGGGGGGGGCTGTGGGGGTACCCCATAAAGCTGCCGGCCCGCAGTGTGAGGTGTGGTGTCACGAGTGGGAACAGAGAGCTGGGGGAGGGCGACAGAACGGGGGGGGCACCGGGAGGGGGTCGGATGTCACGTGGCTGAGGGGTGATGGTGGGGGGGTGGGGGGGCGGCAGCGCCGCACGTGGGCTCAGAGCTGCAGCCACGCGTGTCCGTGTTTGTGCCCCATCAATGTCCGAATGCGGGCAGCCACACCGCCGGCCCCCGATCCATCCCATAACCCCCCCTCTCCCCCCCGTATCCTCACGGCACCCACGCGTGTCCACACCCCCACGTGCCCCCCACCTGTGTCCCATCCTCACGTGTGGGTACCCACGCAGGACAGCCCCCCCGCATCCCACTGCCCACCCCGACCCCAGCCCTAATCCTAAATCCCAACCCCCACCCCGACCCCCTCTGCACCCTGACCCCCCCGCATCCCTCTGCCCACACCACGCGTGGGGGGCAGCCAGGCCGCACATCGCCCACTGGTGTCCCCCTCCCCGCCCCCCCCCAGAAGCAGACACGGACGCTGCGTGGAGTTGAAGCAGAGCTTTGTTTA